GGAAGGTGGAAAAGATGGGACGGGGCATGATGGGAGGGGAGAGAGGGGAGGGAAGGCGGGCGGGGAGTCGCGGCAGGAAGAGGGAGGGAAATTTGTGATATGTGATGATTGGGGTTGTTCCGGGCCCATGTGGGGATCGGTATGGTATTATCTCTTGAAGTGAGGAGAGGTGAAGTTGGGATGAAGGGTGGTATCGTAGGTAGGTGTGCTAAGCCACTCTTAGCAGGTACTGGTAGGGAGGGGGGGGGGGGGTAGAAAGCTACTACTTACTTTACTATTCATTACTTTGTACTGTATGAGTATCTCCATTCCCACTCCTATGATACACCACACAAAAGCCTTCCACTGGACAGCCCTCCACCGACGATTTCCAGTGCGCACGTGGAGACGCGCCCCTCCCATCCACCCATCCACCTGCTGGTTTTACACAAGCCTACCGTACGGGAAAGCATCGCAGGGCGAGTAACGAACAGAAAAGAAGCGTAGCGATATGTTCCCCTGACCCCCCCCCCCCTCCCCTACCTCTTACCTCCTACCTCGCACACTGGGCGGTACAGTACGGTACGGTACTTGCACTCATACCTGAATTAGGCCGTGACGTTGACAGGATACTATGATACTCGTGCTCATTTCCCGGCTGGGTCATGGGTTAGGTTTTACTCCCTCTTTCTATCATGCCTTTCGCAAGTACCAGGGAGGAGTAATCGCATCACGCCGTCAATCTGTCTTGTATGATACGGTACCGTACTTGTGGTGTATTCTTGCTTGTTTCTAGGGCTTGGGCGAGAGGTGGTCTTGTGAAGACGTGAGTGTGATATGACTATCATACCGGAAGGCAGTCTAGGTAGCGAGTACCGTACCGGTAGTAGCAGCGAGCGGGTCGGAGCAGGGCGAGTGAGTGGCTGTGGCTTTAACTTGACTTTGTATGTGTGTACGTGTGCGTGGTAGGGGGGGGGGGGGGGGGGGCTAGTTTCATGAAGAGGGCACAATAGGTTTATGTGGAGGCTATGGGAAATGTCTACAGATTGACAAACGCATTAATACCATAGCAGGGTTTGAAAAAAAAATGAAAAAAAAATGACGCTGAATGGCTCAGTCCGTTACCGTAGACGAAGAGTTGGCTGTGGCCTAGACTAATGTGTGAGTGAGATTTAGAACCCTCTCTCTTCTCTTCTCTTTCGAGGGCTTTAGGTGGAAAACAGCAGTCCCCGTGGCGGACCATCGTGAAACTCTAACTCTGGGAGATGAGTTGAGTTAAGTTACCGGTTCTGCCTATCGGGCCACATGCTCTCTCTCCCCCTGCCGGTAGATCCATCGTTTATCATACTTCTTCTGCTGTGTCTTTGGTTGGTTGGTTGGTTATGGTTTACTGAGGCGCGGCCGCTAAGGCAGGTACAGTACCAGTTCCCTGGGCTACGATATGATACAGTGCCAATATGGTTGGACAGAGCACTGTACAGTTACTGTCGTAGTCGCCCGCAATACTCGCGTATGATACAGTACCGCGCACGATACCCATACCATATCGTACCCGTGCCGGTAAGCCTAAGGCAGGTAAGGTAAGGTAAAAAGATAAAAGGTAAAAAAAGGTTAAAAGGTAAGGTAAGGTAGCAGCCCACGCCTACGGTTCCTACTGTAATCTAAAATATACCGGTAGTATCGTACAGTAACGCAAAAAAAAACAACCCATGTTCCAGGAGGACGGACGGACGGACGGCCGGACGCGACCTTGAAAACAAAGAAGAAGGAAAAAGTTCGGACGATAAGTTCCCTATCGTACAGTACCGGCATCTATGATTATCCCCATGCCAGGACTTAAAAAAAAAACTAATCAGCTCTCATTTTCCCGCATTTGGGAGGGGGGGGGGGGTAGGAAATAAGAAAAAAAAAAGGAAAAAAAAAACAGCCATGTGTTGGGATTTTCCTCCCTCTCTTCACAAGTGTAATATTTCGTCTGATGTGATGTGATGTGATATGTTATTCGGTACGTTCTTCCGGATAGGATGTTCTACAATATCATACTTAGCCTCAGGTTTCTGGCGCACATTATCATACCAGTGCTAGTACAGTGCCAGATTTGTCTATCAGAATCTGGATGGATGGATGGAGCACCCCTACCATACGGTACTCGCACAGTACAGTACCGGTACTCCACAGTGCCAAAAAAAGCTCCTACTAACTTTTAAAGTATCATATGTAAACCGTTCTCTACACCTACCTTACTCTCAAAAACAAAATTCAACATATGACTCCATCCAATCCAGAACTCGTAATCTGCTACCTACTGTACTAGTGGCTTGTGGTCACCCCCCCCTCTCCCCACACACACCTCTACCTTCTTCACTTCCCCCTTTCTTTCCTCACTTTCTCCCCCACAGCCCTGCAGATGACTCCCCCCCCCCCGCCCCCCAAACATCCCTCAAAGAGCACCCCTAGCACTTTGTAAGGCTGAAGATCGCTTACCCCTTCCGTGAGAACGTGAACTTTTACCTAACCGTGCCGTGCTCGCCGGAAATTTGATGGGTCGCATTGGTGGATAAGGTAGCATGACATGGTGCTTTGAAACAGCTTTCCCATGAGAGCGGTGGCGGAGAAGCGAAAAAAAAAAAAGGAAAAATGTAGAGTACGAGTACGAGTACAGTATATCCTGAGTGGTAACTAATACTGTATTATTATTAATGGCTATTTTTTTTCTTTTTTTTCTTTGGTCGGGGCTGGGTTTGGTTTAGTTACCCACACTTCCGTTTTGCAAAAAAAATGACCATTTGTGGTCAGTTTGGGATATGGGGCACTTTTCGGATGGGATGTGGTATCATAAGTTATCGGAGTGGGGACTTTTTTATATCTTTTTTTTTCTTTTTTCTTCTCTCTTCTAGAAGTATGATATCATACCGTATGGAAAGGTGGAAGAGGGCGGGGGCGGGGCGGGGGGAGAGGTTGGTTGTAATGCCTACTCCACTCGAGTACTCGTACAGTATGCGGTACTCCTGCGGCACTCTTAGAGGAAAGAGAAAAAAAAACCCCCCAAAGGTCTTGATAAATTTACTGCACGGTCCTGCAGGACAGGTAGGTTCTCGCTCTCGATTATCAAAGCGGCCTTGTGCCCGTGCTCCACTGTTAGTCCCGTTCAGCTCTAGTCCAGTGCATTGTACCACATCCAGACGCAGAATGATGTCAGTTCCACTCCCCTCTCCTCCCCTCTTCACATCCCCCTCCCCTCCTCCTCCTCCCCGCTCCTCCCAACCGACCGACCGACCGACCGACAAGTGTACAAAAAGGGGAAAAAAGGGGAAAAAAACACCCGAACCATCATCATCATCGGAGACTACAATGCTGACCGCAGGATACCCTCACCAACTCCGTCCGCGCCGCTACATCTGATGGGGCAAGTATATTCGAGTGACAAGGCATGAACCAGGGGTTTTCCCCGCACGTGTGTGTGTGCATGCATATGTGTGCATGCTGCAGAGAAGGGTGGGGGGGGGGAGGTTGGAGGTTGGGGATTATATTGTAACCCGGTACCGTGTACTCCAGTAAGTACCGTACATACCCAATCTACAGGTATCATAGTACCGGTAGCTAATACCCGTGCTCGGGTACAGTACGGTATTACGGTAGTTGGATTGGACCCGCGAAACGTCGCTTTGGGCTTCCCGATGGAAGAGAGAGGTAAGAAGGGGGGTTGTTGTTTTTGTCTCAAGATGGTGAATAGGTTTCCGCTGCCGAGGGGATGAGGAACGGGTTCGGTTGAGGGTTCCTCGATCACCAGTAAGTAGCGTTATGGGTTGGAGCGAGTATGATACCGTGGGTGAGGAAGGCTATTTGCTACTGACCGGGAGCGGATGTGGGAATGGGAAATTATCGAAGGGGGAGGAATCAGCATGTAAGGAACGATGCCATCGACGGGCAGGCTGGTATGGCATGATGGACAAGACTCTCCGCATCCGCATTCCTAATCCAGTCACGCCTGGGGCTCCCCTCTGGGTACCGCTGCCAGTATTCCAGATCTTCAAGAGGAAACTCGGCCAGGGATCGACGATGGCGACAGAGTAAAAGAAGAAAAAGAAAAAGGGCAATTGACTCGATATCTCGGGGTAATATCCTACCGGCGAAAAGGAAGGGGAGAGAGTAAAGTCAGCGAATATTTTATTATTCTGGTAATTTTGCTACAATTGCTCTTTCCTCCCCCGTGGTGGACTATCATGCTCGAGCATTGACAGCTGGGAGAAAGAGGGTTTTCCTGGTTAAGGGCTGAGGCTCTGCGGAAGCCATTTTAGGGGCGGGCGGCAAGTCCCGTTTCCGGAATGCTAATGGGCCCGCTCAGATAAGCCCTAGATGCCAGCGTTGAGGTTTCGGGTGAGTGAATGGAGTCCCTGGACAACACTTTTCGTCATCCCCATCACCAACACCATCATCGCCATCTATCCTCAGACCCATCCCGGACTGCCGGCACCCTCAGCTTCTTATCTACACCGCTCTGAACTCCGGCACTCCGTTTTGTTTCCTCACTGCCGTCGCAACAGCCGAGCACAATTAGCCGACCAACCGACCAACCAACCAACCAGCCAACCGCCGACCCATGGATCCGATACCCAACGATGTGGATGAGGTTCTCCCGGGTCTATTCCTCGGAAAGTAAGCCTTGTCACAGACCCCCGCGAGCAAAACAGGCCTCCCCCAGCACACCCATCATTGTCCCTATTCCACTAACGCGGAGCTTCCAGTCTAGTGGCCGCGGAATCGCTAGCTATCCTCAAACAGTGTAACATAACACACGTACTATCCCTAACCCACTCCCTTCCAAGCGTTCCTGAGGAAGCGGGCATAATCCATCGCCACATTCCAATCCTCGACGTCCCGACACAGAACATCCTCTCCGTCATCGACATATGCCTGGACTTTATGACCGAGGCCCTGCACGGGGAAGGGAATAATATCCTTGTCCACTGTTACTTGGGCAAGTCCCGGAGCGGGGGTGTTGTCGTTGCCTATGGTATTGCCCTCCCGCCCCTTTGTTCCCCATCGACCCCTCCTGACAAGGTCTGATTTGGATTTCTTAGTCATGAAAAAGCAAAAAATACCTCTTGCCCCCGCTCATGCCTTCGTCAAGTCCAAGCGTCCGCTCGTGCACCCGAATCGCGCCTTCAGGAGCCAATTGGAGCTCTGGGGAACGTGCGGCTACGACTCTACTATCCTCGACGATTACGAGATCGTCGACTTTGGCTTCGGCGAGGAACTCCCCGTTGTGCATAAGAAGAAGAGTAGTAAGAGTGGCAGAAGACGCCATGGTCACGGCAGCAGTCCTGACAAGGCTGGCGCCTTGGGCTCAGCCCTCATTGCTGGGTTGGGGACGGCGGCGGGGGGGGAGGTGGGGGTTACGGAAGGGTGGGGGATGGTATACATGGACGATGTTACGAAGGCTTTCTTTGAGAGGTGCCTTGATGAGGTTGGGATTGTGAGGAAGAGTGCCAGGGGGTTGTGCTGGGTTGGGTAAAGAGAACCTTTTGACTTGGGGATATCCTGCAGTATATCTTTGCTTTTTTCTTCTTTATTTCCTCTTAGGATCATGGCATTTGTCCTTCTCCTTTCCATTGCCTCGATTGAGTTGTGTTCTGTGTTGCAGTGGCTGAGCGACCCATGAGTGGTGGTGTTTTAGCAGGGATGTGGCTTCGTGCATGGGGTATCACTCGGTTCTTGTCTGATGTTTGATCTCGAGAGCTATGTTTTCATTTGGCTGTAATATTTTTTGATTTCCAGTAGCGGGAGTGGGTCTTTTTTTATATTTTTATTGTGTGGTGTCTCGTTCTTGGGCTTATGTGTCTGAGTTACTGTCAATGTTTCACCTGAGCGCTACCTCCGATAAACATATCAAAGAAAATTGGTTTTCACTTTATATCGCCCCCTCAGCCCATGAAGCCCGGGGGGATACCGGGAAAATGCAAGCACACCCCTGTTGTTTTCACTATAGGATATAACCGAACTTTTAGTCCCTGGGCACTGATTTGTCTTCTCTACCCCAACTTCTGCGGGCTGAGCTCTCTACCACCCGCCAAAGACCCCACATTCAACCAACCATGATGCCGCTATCAAAAGACTAGCCCACTCTAGCGTTCATTGGAAGAATCATCTAGGATTATTCATTCATTCGAAAGTGTGAGACTCGCACTGGCTAACTAGCCAACTAACTTGGCAGTGCAGATGGATATATAGATACGCCTTCCTTGCAAGAGTACTGCACGCTGATTTGCTAGTATATAACTGGAAGACTTTTCATAACGGTATTTCTTACCACATCCTATCATGAGGGAAATCCACTTGGTTTTGGCCGATGGTGTACTGCACGGGAGGGTATTGGAAATTGGGGAAATTTTGGACTGGAAGTGGCACAGGGTGGGGTGTCGTGCCCGTACGGGAAGGAAAAATTCTAGAATTCGTCTTGTTTGGTGAATGGATGATTATTCTCTGAAGGGGGTTTTGTGTTCTGGATTGTTGTGGCGTTGTGTTATGTTGTGTCGGTCGTCCGCGGGTTCGCTATTCGAGTGATGTACTGTACTGATCTGGGCGTAGGTGCCAGAGTATGATACTGCTATGGATTGAGATGGAGGGAGGGCGGGAGGGAAGGGGGGATCTTTGTGAGTTGGTGCTGGATTCACTATTTATGGAGTTTTGGGTGTGGGGGATGTGAAAACGGGGATGATGGTGAGATCTTGCTGGCCACAGCGGTATGATAGAATACCTGGATGGGGGATTTGTGGTGAGGAGGGTTTTGTAGGATGTGATAGCTGGGATATGGTACTAAGACTGACTTGCGCGCAGTGAGAAATTACCACCCCTTTGGCTTGGACTACAGGGTGTAATGCAGATGTCGGGTTTCGTGGGGGAGGTGTCATACTCGTTTGTCTGTTCATGAGAGCATGAAGGTATGTACAGTACAGCACGACTCAATCCCTCGACCTATAGCGTCTAGCGATAGAAGGGCATTATGATACAAGTTGTATTCACGCCTGTGGTGATTGCATTTCCGAAGTTCCATACTTTCAAGTCTAGCGTCGTACATACACCCTAAAAAAAAAATTTAAAAATCTTTGGATGAGCGGTTCGGAAGGATTGTGTGAAGGGATCATGTGTAGTGCCCCGACCTGGCAAATTGGGAATCATCACGGACTCGAGCACCAAGAAGCGATGCGAGTGTCAATATTTATCACTTGGAATAGTCGTGTGGTGTGTGTGAGTGAGTGTGTTTTTGACCTCGCTATGTATTTGATGCTGTGACATTGTTTGAAAGGTATCGTACAGGGTGTTACAGTACTGTAAACCTCCGGTTCCGCACCGGAAATTTACGAACCACCAGAGGGCGGTATCCCCCGGTCATAGAATCCAATACCATAACGGTACCTTCCGTCATGAGCCCATATCGAAGAAAGCTCCGAAAAAACTAAGTTTCCTGGTTACGATCGGATTTCAGATAGCGAACATACGGGAGCCAACGATGAGGCTCGGATAGCATAGGATGAGGGACAGAAGTCAAGTCGGATCTAAAATATCCTTACTTTGCAATGCTGGGGGTTGGCTATGTATTCAGAAGCATAGATTGGGGTTCTTTTTCTTGTGGGCAGTGTGTAGACCTTCGCTCCACCAACTTACACCTCCATTGGGATCTGAAGTGTTTTTTTGCACAGTGCAGGCCCGCTAAGGACGTCTGCGGATTGCGTTCTGCGCAGCGTCACGGTGTGTCGCGTTGAATAGTGCGTTACGTAATTTAAACCTACCGTTCGGGTCGTGAACGGGGCGAGTGACTGTCTGTGACGGAGTATGAAACGAGCGAGGGATGACTAGATGCCTGCTTGGAGGTAGTAGCACTCAGATGTAGCATTTTGTGAGAGTAGGCTGAATCAAAACTTTTTATTATTTTATGTTACACGCACTGTACTAACTATAGTTTTATCCATGCTAAGTACGAGGAGTGCCATCCGTATGGCGATTTCCTTCCTTCCAGCTCACTGGGGATCTACACTTGCATCTGGGATAGGAAGATATTCGGTCCTGAATTAACCTATGCCTTTCGGGGAAAGACAATACATCAGCGTATTCACGACTCTTCGAATGACAATAATACTTGTAAGAAAGTTGTTCGGGCGGTGTTTGGTTTTTTGGCTAACTTTACCCGGCCCCCGATCATTGGAGGAGGGAGGGATGGGGCGGATTATGGTAAGTGCGGAAACCTAACGTCGCGATACAACGCAGTGTGTGGGTGAGTACGAGGGGGTGGAAGGAAGGGTGTAGTATGACACGATTGCGATGCTTTCTCACATTATTTCACCTCCGGTACCAATCCTTTTACCACTATATTGACTATGTCTCCAGCGATTACTAAAATCGTTCTCAGGAGGTGATGTGAGGGTAAAAGGGGCCCGCAGCTGTGAACATGGGTAGTTTAGTTAAATAGATGTGTATTTATAGTTAAGATGTTAAGTGAATGAAATAATCTAACAATTAACCTATAAATATTTACCAATACTCATGCCAAGGTTGTGAC